GTTCAAAATTAAGCACCGGTGAAGCATAGAAATTTAAAGTGACAGCATCTTTTTACACAGTGAGTATTTTTAAAGGAAAATTTAAATGCTGTGTATTAAAAGAAATTAAGAATAAGTCACACTCCAATGTCAGAAAGGATAATCACCTTCATTATGAAAAAAAACCAGCCTTAATTATTTAACAGCATATGGTTAAAATTTCATCAAGTATCTCAGTATTTTACTCAACAGAAGATCCTTTTATTTGTATAGTTTAGACTCTACCTAGTATACATATAAGTATATAGCTTGAACTAACAGGGCTTGATCTTGAATCCTGCTGCAAATTGCAAATAAAGGAACTTTGACTACACAGTTCAAGCCAGCCATACTGAAGGAAGCCTCAGAGGAAGAGCACACTGGAGCTGCAGATTACTCCCGTGAGCCCAGCAGGAGCCCATGCAGGGCTGCCCCTCCAGTCACCCTGTGCCTAGGCCCTCAAGGGTTTTGTCAGTCTTTCCATGGGTTCCTGTGCTGTGCCCGTGACCAAGGGCTGCTTGGAGCTGGTACTGAGTGACGAGTCCTGTGCATAAGCCCTGAATAGCCCTTCCAGAGGTGGAGAGGAGGGTACCTGTGCAGGCTCTCCTCTGCTTGCATGTTCAGGTTTCTCTCTTAAAAATGTGTGCGAGCACTAGTGAAGAGAAAAACAGATATGAGCAAACTCCCATGCTATATATACTGATGCTATGCTTTCTTTCCATTCAGTAACTCCTTCCATTAAACCTTTTACCATATATGCACTACTACTTAGGTCTTGTATTTTTAACCATTTCTCACAGCATTTGCTGGTGTCACTTGTGCTGCTAGACTGCTCCTTTGGCATCACAGCTTTTATCCTGGAAGGGACTTCATTCAGCAATAAAGCAGAGAGGTGGCCTCTCCAAACTTTTAGGAAAGGGAGATGAGGAAATCAAAGGGGGCTCAGAGTAATCCCTTGTCTCCTTTTTCAGCTGCTTTCTGCTACGATAACAATCCAGGCTGTTGACATTGCTGTTTACATGAACGTGAAAGTGATGAAGGCATTACCAGTGTTGGGCTGTGGGTCTTTCCACAGTAGTCAGACAGGAGGAGCAGGATGATTAGAAATGGAAAAAGACCCTTACAAATCAGCTGTGGCAGATATAAAGGCAGGACAAGAGGATAAACAAAATGTAATTATGGAAGTGATACAACCCGCAACTTTCAGGAGTCTCTCTTTTACCTTCAGTTAGATGAACAGTATGTGTTTCCAAAGCTTTGATCCTGTCTGTTAACTGAGACCTAAAAGGAAAGACTGCTAAATCCGTAGGCAATATCTGGAGAAACTGAAATACAGTTTTGGGTTTTTTTTTTTGTCTCAGAACACTTGAAGAATTTGCTTTATTGTAGCACCGAACCTTTTGGAAATAAAGATCCTGTTACAAAGTGAATGTGTGACCATAATAATCCAAATCCAGAGGTCTCAATTTAGTTTTAGCACAGGCCAAACTCTGATTTCAAAATTAACTTGACTGAGCATAGTGACCTCTTAAAGACTGCAGGGTTCATACCATTTGTGCTGTGTGATCGTAACAAACTAGTTGTGAATGTGAAGAGAATTCAGAAAAGCTTTGTTTTTTCCTAATGTGAAAGCGTGCTTTTTATCCCCAACTTTGCACCATTCCCAGTCTCCTTCTAAAAAGACCTGTGAAAGGGAAAGTGTTTTTTAACCACTACAAAACTTTTTTTAGCTATGCAGGTTTGAGGACTCAGGATTTTCTTTCATTCAGAAATATTAGGCTCAGATAAACCCCCTGTATGTTTTTTCCTTAGAATCTTAATTCACAATTTTTTGTGAAAATGTAGATAACTACATCCAGAGAGGCTGAAATTATAGCTAACAACATATAGGGAGGCTGCTCTCCCTGTATAAGGTCATGTTTTAGGCTACCTTGCTCAAGCTCACTACTCTCAAGTAAAGAAAAGGCAATACTTATGTATTTTCACTGAACTGTTCAAATAGTTTTTGTAATAAGGAAGAACTCAACTTTAACACATAGATGAGCATTTGAAAAACTAATTAAAAGGATTCTTGAGATCCTGTTTCTTTCATGAAATATTTGTCAAAAAGAGTGTTTGCATCACTATGCTTCTGACCAGTGCATAAAGTCATATGAATATTTGCTGTTGCAGATATGTCAATTCGTAACTATTTTCAACTACCACTAGCATGGAAACAGCAGAATGTAAAATACCATGCATTAACACTTAACAGCATTAGGTTGTTCTGTAACAGAGGACTGCCTGGCTTTTCAGATTAGATGGATCATACAACTTCTTACCCTGTTGAGCAAGCCAGGTCTGCACACCCACCTGCTTTCTCCAGAGTGTACGTTTTTTGTGTCCATATCCAGCACAGCTGATATGCCCATGCGCAAGATCTCTGCTAGTATCAGAACTGCTGTCTGTGCCCAGCTTGGTTTCTCAGGAATACAGAAAAAGTTTTGCAATTCCCAGCAATACATCCTTATTCCACACACCGGTCTGTGAGTTCTGGGGAAAGAGAGCAGCTGGATGCCAGAACACCTTCTGTGGCCTTGTCTAAACCACCTTTTTTTCAACCAAATTTTCCTTGGATAGGGGCAGCAAGCAGAATAGGTTGGATGGGCAGGAATGACTCCTGGCACATCACCTGCCTTCAGGTTCACTTAAGGCCCAGATTCCCCTCTGAAAGGGTTTATCAGGACTGTGCTAAGGAAAGGGATAAACTACAGTTAGAAGCTTGCTATAGAAGAGAGAGTTGGGGGGAATGAAGCCACAGGCCAGCTGGTCCTTAAAGGCCTTAGAAGTATCCATTCTCATAAAGAACACTCCTTATAACATCATGTGTACAAGGCAACCAGCCTTTTGGACCAGACTTTATTTGGACTGGAAGAATGTCATTGTACACCTCCTCATGCTCAAACTAAGTCAGGAGTGGGATTAGTGTCTACCACCTGACGTCTGCTCCAACACAGCTGGCAACTTTGCCATATTTTGATTTCCAGAATGGAAAAAAAATTATGTTAGCTGGTAAGAACTGATTAGCAAACTTTCAGTCATTATCGAATAAATCTTAATTAAAAAATTACAGAAAAACAGTAAATCCATCATGTTGCACAGTACCAGTCAGCTTGCTCTTTCTTTTCTATTAGCTACTTCTTTTTCTAAGTCACAGTCCCACTGGTTCATGTAGCTCCCTGAGAAATTAATGTAACTCACTTCAGAGACTGGCATCAGCTGTCTGTGAGAAGCAGTTAACACAAACCATGTGTTTCCCTATCTCAGTGACAGTTAAAGTCTACAATTTCACACTCTCAGATGGAAAACAAAAACAAAACGCTGTGCTCTTTGGACACTGTAATTCAGAAACATCTGTCTCTTTGACCTGGGAAAGCCACGAGGGAAATCTGAATGTGTTAGTGCCAGTACTTCACAGAGAAGAAAAGGAACAGGTAGCTCAAAGGTCAGCACAGCCTGCCTACAAACTTCAGATATCAGCAACTCTTGAATTAGCAAGCATACACAGGGTAGATGTCTCTTGTGATTTTGCCCCACTTCTGTCTCACCTGAGAATGGGTGAGCAGGGAGATAGTCAGGAAATCCCTACTAGTGAAGTTCAGTGGCAACGGAAAGCAAGGAGAAGAGCCTTGATACTGTGAGGGCAATTTTTCCTGTATGTGTCCAATTACTTCTGTTTTGATCATCATCTGCTGTTTTTAGGGTGCAAAATTCCAGTTCACTGGCAAGTAGAACTACTGCACAGAAAATCGGGTTAACAACTCTGGGTAGCTCAAGAATAATATCAATGACAAATTGATAATTATGAATACTGTTTCTGTCTCACTAAATTCAGGTATCTCCACACTGAAAATGTGTGACCCCAGTCCATACTGGCCTCCATGCTAAGAAAGAACAAAAGATGTCATCAGGGCTTTTTTCTTTGTCAAGAAAATAGAAAAGTACCTCTCTTAAGAAAATAATATCACGACCATCCCCCAGTTAATTCATTCTCTCTTAACTTTTTCATGCTCTAGTGATCAAATCATTAAACAGCCCCCATTATTCATTCCAACTTCTGCCAGGGATATGAGCTCTGTATCAGAGAAACACCTCCTCACCATCACAATCATCATCATGACATCTCAGCAAGTTGATACAATTATGCCAGAGAACCATCCCCATAATTATACAGTTCTTTAGCTCATTTCTCAATGTATTCACCATTACTATAATCACTGCAAGTACAGTATGTTAAATTAAGAACAGGATCTACAGCTAACATCTCATGGGATGAAGAATCTGCCTGCTGCAGTTCTGCAATTCTTTACAATATAACTCTGCAAAACTCTTAAAACTGAGGCTCATATTTTAGTGTCTGTTTGTTTTTGAAGCAACTGACATTTAAAACTAATTTTAAGATGCATATGAAGAATGGCTTTTTATGGACAGAGAAAGGGTAAACCTCTTTCCCACATAATTTTCAAAATATTGCTAAAGAATTGGCAGGACTGGACCTCATTTCCTAACCAGCTATTAAGCGCAGATTTTTATGCGTATGATATATATGGACTGCCATCATAAAGAATTTTTGCCTTTCAGTTAACGGTGATCACAAAGACAGATTAGGCAAATGAACTCTTAGCAGCCACTCATGCTTATTTGTCATAAGATGCTTTACAATAATGACTATATTGTTGCTATAACAAAACACTCTGGTTAAAATATTATGCTGGAAAACAACAGGCAAATATAAACTTTTCAAAACAAAGAATTTTCACAAAATACAAAACTGAGGAGGGGGTGAGGTGAAGGAAGATTAGAACAGAAGAACCATAAAAATTTAGAAAGTAGAAACCTAGGGAACTTCATGCCTGTAGCAAAAGTTAACATAAGTCTCTTTAACAGAATGTAAGCAGACATACTAACAAGTTCTTCCTGTCTATTTCCATTTACTAAATCAGGCACAGCCAAGAAAATGTTGCACTTTGAGATTTCAAAGGAAGGCAGTGAATTATCACTGGTTGAACATGCTGAAGTGTGGCTCTTCCTGAAGGTCTCCAAAGCCAACCGGAGCAGGACAAAAGTCACCATCCGCCTCTTTCAACAGCAGTGGCAGCCAAAAGGCAACTCTGAAGGAGCAGAAGATATGGAGGATGGGAGGCTGAAAGGTGAAAGGAGTGAGACTTTGATTTCAGAAAAGGCAGTGGACACCCGTAAGAGCACTTGGCACATCTTTCCTGTCTCCAGCAGTGTCCAGAGACTCCTGGACCAAGGCAAGAACTCTTTGGATGTGCGGATTGCCTGTGACCTGTGCCAAGAGACTGGAGCCAACCTGGTGTTATTGGGCAAGAAGAAGAAAAAGGAAGATGATGGGGAAGGGAAAGAAAAGGAACCTGGAGAATTCACAGGAGAAGAGGAAAAAGAGCAATCGCATCGGCCCTTCCTGATGATGCTTGCTCGGCACTCAGAGGACCGCCAGCACAGGCGGCGGAGACGAGGCCTGGAGTGTGATGGCAAAGTCAACATCTGCTGCAAGAAGCAGTTCTTTGTCAGCTTCAAGGACATAGGGTGGAGTGACTGGATCATTGCTCCTACGGGTTATCATGCCAACTACTGCGAAGGAGAGTGCCCCAGCCATATAGCAGGCACATCTGGTTCATCATTATCTTTCCACTCCACTGTCATCAACCATTACCGCATGCGGGGCCATAGCCCCTTTGCCAACCTCAAGTCATGTTGTGTGCCCACCAAGCTGCGGCCTATGTCCATGCTCTACTACGATGATGGCCAGAATATCATTAAGAAAGACATACAGAATATGATTGTGGAGGAGTGTGGCTGTTCGTAGACTCGTGTATGCGCAAAACCCTTCTCATTGGGAAGAAAATGTACCAAAAGCCCAAGAAGAGGAAAGACCAGACATGGTATAACCTTTTTTGAATGAAACAATCATCAGAAATAAAAGCAAAAACAAAAGAGAGAGAGAAAAGAGAGAGAGAAAAGGAAAAAAAAAAAAAAAGACTAATGAAGGATTAGAGAAGACTTCAGATATAAAAAAGGAAGAAAGCTTCATGAACCCGGGCTTGAATAAGATGCATCTGAACAGCGGTATGGGTTGGGGATTTCCCCTTCCTTTCAGTATGCTCCTTGTCTTATTACATAGTATACTAAACATTAGTTATTACTAGGGGAGTTTTGTTCCCTCCCTTAGTTACCCATCAGTTCAAGCCATGGTAGCAGCTCATCTGACTTGCATCAATTTGGACAAAGTCCAAAATGTCATTGAAAAGCCATGTGCATGATCAATACAGTCACTAGCGCTTTCCCCCTGCATTTACAGAGAAACTGAATAGGTGTGTAGTGTTTGTGTGTATATGTATATGGCTATGTATTTATATACATATCTATACGTACAGACACTATACACATACATATACTTAACATTGATCAAGAACAACAATGTGCAGGTGTATACACCTTCATCTTCTGCACTACATTTACAAAAAAAAAAAAGGAAAAAGGAAAAAAGAAAAATGAAGAAAAAAACAGAATAAAAAATGAATGAAAGAATAAAAGTTACATTCTGTAAAGGTGCTTACAATGTTAGAACTATGCAACCTAGTTGGTTTGAAACTGTTTACCTGCAAGAGAAAGAAAAAAAATCAGAGAGACTTTTTTTAAATGGAAGTAACTTGTTTTAAAAAAATTCTTTGGTGAGAGATACTTGAAAGGAACATGTTTGTCCAGTTACTGGAGTCAAACATTTCTATATTTTGTAAAAAAAATTTTTAATCGTTTACTATTTGCACTACAATGGTGTCTGACCTGTCTAATCCTTATTTAACAAATATTTGCAAGGGAGGGTGGTTGGGTGTGGGAGGGGTTGAGAGCTGCACTTATTGTGAGCTATACAAGAACTGCTACAGCACACAAAATAGCTATTTTTATTATTATAATAATTATTATTATTTTGTACCTTAAAATGAATAGACACATACACCAAAGACATTTGTGCGAGCCTCTAAAAAGTCTGTTTGTGGTTGGTACCATTCACTTGTAATAAGTTAGGGTTTGAATTAGGGGTCAGTGGGTTGATTACATTCAGGCTAGAATCTCTGTTAACCAGTTAAATTCAAATAGTGCCCTCAGCAGAAAATTGCCGCGTAAAGCAAGCCCAGAAAATCTCTGAGATTTGGATACGATGTGCTCGGATCTGAGGTACATCTAAGCATAACTGTACTCTTTTGTACCTACAACACTAAACTTGGCCCAGATGCACAGCAACTGTGCATTGTTGGGAAACAACTTTGTCCAAGGGATATACATATATATAGAGATAGATATTTCTGTATGTACATATGTATGTATACACAAGGTATAAGCACTTCTGGCTTCATTTTACTGCTCTTAAAACAATGAATGTTTGTGTGCAAAGCACAGTATGTTATAAGATTGTTTGTTTCTTACTGCCAAGTGGGAGGCTACATGTTCAAAATTGGTACTTGTGTGAGAGAAACCTAACGTACTGGTATACACTTAGAAAGTGTTGATGTAAAGTTGCAAGCAACTTTGGGCCCTTTCCACCATTGCCCCTGCAAATATACAGAAAAAGGCAGTTGTGGTAGGATTTCTGTTTGAAATGCAGTCTTTGCCAAAAGACTGGTGTCTCAACCACCACCCTCTAGCATGACAACTCTTAATGGGTTTGCGCATCACCTGTAAGACCTAATGTTCAGTGTCAACACCTAACCTGAAGGGTCCAACCCGTAGGGCATAGGTAGATAGTTGTTTTTTTAAATTTTTCGCTGTCATATTTAAAAGAATGTTAAACTTACAACATTTGTCTTTGGGTAGGGGGAGATGATAAGAGCGAATGGGAGAAACCTTTAGGCCCTGTTTACACTGAGTTTGATAACCCTGAACCTGAAGCTTCAGACTCTCATAAGTTTGCTGAACCAAGACCCTGTTAGCTGCCTTCTGACGGGACAGGCTTCAAAATACCTCTCACGGAAAGAAGCACTAACGTGGCTCCCCAACTTGTTAAGAGCACAGTCTGTTAAAAAAAAAAAAAAAAAAGAAAAAAAAAAGAAGAAAAAAGATAGCACAGTATAACCCAGTCACATTGGCTAGGGATAGTGTGTTAGCACCTTCATCGCAAGAACCATTTTTAAACAGTGTAATCAGGGCCTTCATTTTTGTCAGCCAAAACTGTTTGCGTGTGCATGTGTGCGTGTGTGTTCTGCGTGTGTGCTTATGTATGTGCACATGGGCGCATGTCCGTATTTGTATGTATTAATAGAGAATAAAAAAACGGAAAAAAAAAAAGAAAGAAAAATTTTTAAAAAGCCCTTTCCTCTGTTGAATAGCTATCAACATACATGCTTATAGCTAAGTTTTCTATCTAATTTATTCCACAATATTTAGATTGCATAATACAGCTAATGGGTTATACATTTATGTACTTTTTATACAATGCATTTTTTTACAGACTTGTTTGCAATTTGCAAAAAAAAAATTAAAAAATATAACAATTGGTTAAACTCTAAATTTACTAAAGTATTCTGTAAAATATCAAGGCTTTCTAATTTAAATTATTTGCAGAAGTTTGTTGGGTTTTTTGTGTTTTCTTCCTGGGGAAAGGGAGGGATACCAAATGCTAGTAGGGAAATTATTTAAAATAAAATAAAATAAAAAAAAAACAACAAAGATGCACAACTAATTTATCTTTATAACTTAAACCAAGTTCCTGATCCCACTTATTTAAAGCAAGTAGCAGAATTTCAGTTGATTTTTCTAAAAGCAGAGCCAGGCTTTGAAACAGCAGGAGCAGGGACACTGTCTGTGAGAGTCGTTAGAGAGCTCCTTTTAGTTCACTAGACTTTGGACTTTGCCTTAAAATTGGGTGCTCCAGAACCCTTATTCATATAATTGGATGTCCCAGAACCATTACTCGTGTCAGCAGGCTCTTTGATGTCTACTGGTCTCTGTGCAAGAGCAGTAACACTACTTACATGAGAAAAGGTACACGAGGGCGAATCACAGGTTTCTTTTGCTGTGGGCATTGTGAAGGGAGAGAAAGGATTTTGAATGAATGGCACCATAGTCAACATTGTTTAAATCAATTATTTAAACCAGGCTGCTTGCATTATGCTTCATCTCTGAACATAGTGGCCAGGGGAAGCAGGTGAGATGGCTCACGTTGATAAAAATTATTTTCTACAGTGATTATTTAGAGAGTATCAGAGACCTGAAATCCCACAACCTTCCCCTAGATGAGAATGGCAAAACTCCCACTGACTGCAAGCATAGTAGGTTTAGGCCCATGGTTTTCCTGGCCAAAGGAGAAATACCCTTTTAAAAGAGGTCTGATTCTGAGTTTGATACCAGCTTTTATGTGATGAATGTTGACTGGCCCTGGAAAATATGAAACTAGCCTGAGACAACTTCCAAGTGAGGAAAGAAAATAAGATTTTAGATGTTGTGAGCATGTTTCATGGTAGATACATCGAAAACAGAAAAAGGTTTTTAAATCAAGAAGTAACTCTTCCTAAGCCCTCCTTTTTAGCTTTCATTTGTATGTGTATATTGGTCACAAATTTTAAAGATTTCTCCTTCCAGTCTCTAGATTCAGTCATGGGGTTTTGATTTGTGGTCAGAGTTATTTAAAGTTGGGAAAAATGAAAAAAAGTATGATAAAGTAAAATAAGAAATTGGGATTTTAATCAAGACTGACTGATCCCAACAAAACACCCCATCCCTGATAATTTGATTTAATTAAATCTGCATGTACTTATAATAGCATTAAAAATACCATATTTAAGCAGTTGTCCTATGGCACGTAGCCTCAAAAATTACTTCTCCTTTCAGGTGTGACTATATCAAAAAAAGAGAAAAGCCCTTAACTACTAGCACATTCATTTCCATATAATCTATTTTCTGTTTGTATTGAAAATACATTTTCAGTATATGCTTAATTATAGAAATATATTTGTTTAGTACATCCATAATCTTCTTGCTTCACTGTTGACTACAGTTGGTTGACTTTCCCCATCTCCAAGTCAGATGCTCACTGGATACAAAGCCTACAAAACTGACAGAAGTGCATGTTAAGATGTTTCTTTGGGAGGGCTGAATGTATTTGTATTCTTCAGATTTAGCAAAAGAAAATGCTTAAAAATGCTTATAACTATTGTGCACTCTTATCTCACAGCAGAATACTGATCTAGGGCCCAAAACTCTAGAACTGAATGAAACGGGAGTTTTGTCATTGACTTCAATAGAAACAGCCTCTTACCAAATCACTGCAAAGTAGGACTCCATTATATATACCTCCTTCTTTTTGTATTTCGTTGAGATTTAAGCCATCAAGTTCATTTAACTGTGACGCCACAAGATCATATAGAGGCTGGCAGCAATATCTCTTAAGGCAAAGAAGTTCAGGCATCTGTAAAGTCTATGTGCAAGATTAAATTTTTATGGACTATTATTCATGTGGAATTGTGCCTTACTCTGTAAGCAATGCCGTTGATTTTCAGAATGTCTCCTTTCCTAGAAAGTTACCAGTCAGCATCAAAAAACTGAGCAAAATCTATTTCTGAGGCATAGGTAGATGTGATGGAAATGGTTAAGTTCTTAAAGTTAAACCTCATGTCAATACTGTGCATCGGTAAAAGAATCAGATGCTAATCACCTTCCTTACACTGAAAAAAAGCTTTACTCCCCATCTGCTCTCACTACACTACTTGTGGAGTAAACAGTTTTCAGTATGAGTAAATAAAGTCATAATCTGACCTTTTGTGAACGACTATAAACAAGGTTTTCATGGGCTGAAACAAGCAGCACTTCTGGGTTATATAGCTATTTATTTTTTAAGATATAGTGAATCTGTGTTAATTCTCAGTGGGTTTCTTTGTATTTAAATACTTTCAAAAACAATACATTGACAATGGGTTGAAGATATATATATATGTATGTATACATACATCTTATATATATATCTACAGTATATATA